CGGCGAGAAGAAGATGGAGTGCTTGCAACAGGAGGGCAGTGCAGGTATCACTGGGGGAGGCGCGTTTTTCCAAGGAAAACAAGAGGTGTCGCCCCAGAGCCTACAAAATTCAGTTGCTGCAACGGGGAGGTAGGATCACCGGGCTGCACTACACATCCTACCCATGTGTACAACGTCAAAGATCCAAATCGACTGTCACTCATCATGCCATTTATAGAAACGCCGGAGAACGACAAAGTTCCGAAGGACACCGCTGTTTGCTTCGACTGCGAGATGGGCTATACCACCAATGGCCTTGAGATGCTTCGTCTCACAGTCATCACATGGCCACAACACAAACCCCTCGTCGACGTACTAGTCCGCCCACTTGGACACGTATTGGACTTCAACACCCGCTTCTCTGGTATCACCGCAGACCAGTTCCTGAACGCGAAACCATATGACCCAGACAATCCAAAACCCGTCCGTACAGACCTCCGTATCGTCGAATCACCCCACGCAGCAAGAGAACTCTTTCTCTCTCACGTCTCTCCCACCACCCCGGTCCTTGGTCATGCGCTCGAAAACGATCTCAATACCATTCGTCTCGTCCACCCCACCATCATCGACACCGTCCTCCTGTACCCAAACCCAAGTGGTCTCCCCTTCCGATTCGGCCTGCGAAAGCTGGCGTCCGACCAGCTTGGCGAGCAAATTCAACAAGGAGGCGCTGCTGGCCACGACAGCTACGAGGACGCGCGCACCACAGGCGAACTGGTCCGATGCAAGATCAAAGAGAGGTGGAAACTTCTCAAGATCGATGGCTGGCAAATTAGAGACGACGGCGTGTATCCGCCTATGCCAGCTGAGAAACCGCCGGAGCATGCGCCGACTGCGCCGTCGATGGTGCCAGAGGCGAAAATGGCGGTTCTGGAAGGAAATCCGGCGCAGAAGAGGAAGGCGGAGGATGAGAAGAGTGATGAGGAGCCGCAAGTGAAGGAGCAAGGATGAGGATGCGGTGGTAGTGCGGTTATTGGCATGTGAAACGAGAAGCAAGGTTGAGCGGCATGGCGATATGATTGGATATGTATATATGCATGGTATTGCAGCATAGCACGAGATGACTTCCTCATCCTCTACCTATCCCAGAGGCCATCTCATGATTGACAGAGCTTCGGCCCTTGTCCATCCGCGACTTGCTTTCTTCCGTATAGATCTCTTAGTCTCCCCCTGGCGCGTGTGCTGGGCTTGTCTATCGTCCTCGTCGTCGCCTCTTCAACGCTCATCGCGTCTTCCCTCTCCTCCCCAGTCTTCCGCATCGCACCTCCCAGCATTGCAGATCTGCACTTTGATATCATTGCTTCCCATGCCCCTCCTCAACCCACTTTCTCCCTATCCAACCCCTGCACACCCTCCAACCCCTCTTTCGTAGCCTCATAAACGACATCTGTGTCTAGATCCTTCATCACACCAATCACAACGCCTATGCTCTCGATGAACCCGTTTACCGCGACGCGCAACATGCGGTTTGTGGTTGCTGCGTAGTTTACTTGTAGGACGCTTTGTTCTTGAGACTCGGATGGGGATGAGGGTGGTGTGGTGAGTGAAAAGGCGCGGCGGACGAGGGGTGAGAGTTCGGCGTCGACGGAGAGGGCGCGGGAGGCGGTTTCGGCGAGGTGGGGGGTTGGGAAGGGGATGTTTAGGGTGCTGAGGTCGTGTTAGGAATGTGAATCGCATTTGTTATGGACTGGAAGCGTACAGGGTGCAAGGAAAGTCTTCTGCTTTCCAGTCTTTTTGGTCTGCCATATTGGTGATGATCTTGTTGTGCCGCTCGTGGTCTTTGTCTGCTCTGCAACCTCTGTGGCGCTGAACGAATATGTGGTCGAGTATGGTATATCTAGTCGGGTTCTCTGACAGTCTTCGATGATGATCTCGGTACGATGCGCGTTCAAGGATGCTAGCCTGGGCCCGTCTTCGCGATGAGGCTCAAATCGCGAAATGTGGGGGAGGGGTAGATGCCACCCCCATGCGGTAAGGCGCGTCAGGTGGAGCTATGACCCGCATGCCGCCAGCCATGCCAGGTACAATTGGAGAGAGCGTCATACATCATCATTGCTAGCTGAAATGTGCAATCGCGTCATGCGTCATTTGCTTTTGCATACCTCGGTCTCTTCTAGACTTTTGCTTCCTTACACCCACCTACCTTGATTCTGAGCATCACATCGATTCAATTGACACATACACAACCTCACCTTCACTCACCACCTACTTAATACACCGCTCGAGGCTCGACGACCCAAGCCACCATGTTCCGCAACAGCATGATCCGGTCCACAAGGACCCTACGCCTCACCGCCCCATCCGCACGTCCTTTCTCCCTCTCGACCTCAAGACGCGTCGAGCAATACCCCAATAACCTAAGCACCAACTCAAAGACCAAGACGGACAAATACGACAGCGATAGCCCGCACGCGGTACAAGAGAAGGTCAAGCAGGGCGACACACACAACGTCCAGGAGAGCAATGCAAAGGCAGGCATAGAGTGAGTGGTTTCCAGCAACATACATACGGGGACGGAAGGCAACGAACGTGGCTTATCGCAACATACGGCTAATACCATGAAGCAGCGCACAAAAAGAGGGCAGCGGTGGTCATGCGACTGAAGGAAAGGACTCTGCTGGTGGGAAGGAGAAGGCGAAGAAAGAGTTCCCCGAGGCGCCCGACCCAGCTATTGGTATGCAGGATGAGAGGGGTGGACGAGGTGGTTAAATGTGCCTAGGCGTGCCGGGGTACGATGTAGTCTTCGAGCGTGTGTGCCTACGCTTGTCGATAAGTCTGCTCATCTGATCTATGAAGCGCTCGCGAAAAGGTCAATAACCCCTGCGGCTTTGCTCGAACGCTTCGCAGATCAGATGAGTATATTTGTTGACACGCGTAGGTACATACAAAGAAATCGCATTGGAGGACGAGGCTAGAACGAAGGCAGAGCATGTTGCTCGAACTCTAGGAATCGACATAATACGAAGAGATATTGCCAAGTCTGCGGATCCTACCATGGTGGCTTGTTCGTGTGAAGTATCGGACAACTACAAGATGCATCACTGCCATTCAGAATCGGATACTGATACTGATCCGGCGATTCTCGCCGTACTATCCGCTGTATGTTTCGTCGCTTCGCACATTCCAAACAGTTCGCAAGGGACGAATAAAGGAAAGTCCATGCGGCCCACCCAAAGACCTACCAGACGATACGAACATGAAAGAAACCACGACTAACCAACACAGGAAATGCGCTCGCAACTCCATCATTCACTGTAGGTAGATAAATACTCAGGTCATCGTGCCAGTTGAAATAGTCCAGCACAGCGACCCATCAGCTCCATCGAACCACACTCACACTTCTCTACACGAATCTACTCCACTCCACCGAAGAAAGCACTCAACCAACTACAATCATCATGAAGTTCTCAACCCTCTTCCTCGTAACCCTCACCACCGTCGCGACCGCGACCCCCATCTCCTCCCTCGAGCTAGCAGAACGCCAGATCATGACGGACAACCCAACCAACATCTGCGGAACATGTGCTCTCGTCATCGACCTCTACTCCAAGGTAAGCTTCTTGATCACAACTCCTGTTCATCGATACCACTCCATGCTTGTAACCCAAATGTTTCAAGACCCTGCCACTTACCCACCTACTCCACACCTACAAACAACCCATTCTGACAATCTTTCGATAGGTAAACCACTGCCTCCCCAATGAGATAAGGAAGAAACAGGGCGCTTGTTACGATGAACAGGTGTGCAAGGCTGTTAAGAAGAATCTGCTGTGCAAGGGCGCTTGCGGGTATTCGTGTATGGGGGTGTGATGTAAACTCCTCACCATGAATGCCAACTACATGACAAAACACCATTCTAACTATTTTTCCTTCCATAGATGAACCACTGCATCCCCAATGAAGTAAAGCATAAACGAGGTGCTTGTTACGACAAGTCTGTGTGTACGGCTGTTAAGGGGAATTTACTGTGCAAGGGCGCTTGTGGATATACGTGTGTGGGGGTGTGATGGGTTGGCTGTGGTACAAAGAGTGGTACGTGTGCGATTGGGGTAGCTTATAGGGGACGCGCGAGGGACTAGTTTGTTAAACCTGGTGTCGTGGTTGGATGAACTGGGCAGATGGGTATCTAGGGTGGGTGATAGTGATAGTGATAGGGATGTGACGAAGATGTGTTAACGGATTGTTTGTTACTTTCTTCCGCTCGCTTGGATACAACTTTCCTGTTACCTTTCATCTACGCTCCCTGATCTACAAGCCTGCTTCCCTTCATATCCCCCTTCTAGTCCCAGTCTTCAAGAATTCATCGTCGTGAACATGGCTCGTCTCGCAGTCGTAACAACCCTGTTCTTTGCGTTTATGACATTCGTTGTCGCGCACCCACTCGCCGCAACCCCTCATCTCGACCAGTCAATTCCGAATCCTCCGTCTTTCCCACCCATTTACTACAAACAACCGGTCGCGAATGCCCCTAGGCATGAGGCGCACACATGCAGATATCATGCCGGGTATAACTGCTGAAGTGGGTCTCAAAGTGTTCCGATGCCAGGTAAGGATATAGCATGGCGCAGTAGAGAGACAATAACGGGAAATGAGCTGATGTCAACACAGTGATGTTGCGACAGTGCTATTCGGCGTACTTGAGAGGACGAGTGCGGAGTTCGCGGGCAGGACTCTTGGTGCATGGATGAGTGGCTTTTGGGTGTTGTGGCTTCGACTAGATCGGCTGATGTTGGGGATGAAGGACTGTAACATGTCGAATCTACACCTGACACTGACAGATCCGCATGACTATGAAGAGATGACAGAAATGGAAAGATTACCGACCCATGTCCTCTTCTGTTGTAGACACAAAGGCTGCCGTGTTATTTCAGATCTATGATAGTCACTGTAGATGATGACATCCTGAACATGCTCCCGATACATTGAGATACCGGTTCTTCTGCATCAAATCCCCCCACCCTTCACTCCCGCAGTACCTTAGTGACCCTCAGATCGACGCCGAAGTTGTAGTTCTTGTCAAAAGCCAGACCAAAGTCTCGATCCGGGGTGATGTTCTCGATGGAGGAATCCACAAGCTCCAGGTCAAAGTTCTGAACCATGGCCGCGATAGTGAGGTACAACTCGGCGTACGCGAGACTAGAATCCGTTAGTATGGCTTCACCGTACGACATGACATGACGTCTTACTTGATGCCGAGGCAAGCCCGGCTGCCCTTCGAGAAGGTTACGAGATACTTGTCGAGATATTCTCCGCGGGCTTTGGCTTCGATCCACCGCTCGGGTCGGAAGATATGAGGATCTGGGAATACGTCGGGGTGGTTGTTGAGTAGATACGGGGATGCGCCGATGATGGTCTTGGTAGTGTTAGACAATTGAAGCTCCAGAGCGAGTGTCATACTTACACCAGATGGGATGAGCAGGTCCTTGTAGGGCATAGGCTCAACGACCACGCGTGGAAAGCGGCCTGTGAAGCAACACTGGAAGCGGAGAGACTCGTTGATGACGGCTGTCTAGTCCGTGTTAGGCGGTACGACCGAGTGTGGCGATCGACTTACCAGATACGGCAGAGCCTCGAGCTCAGTCAAAGTCGACGTAGAGTGGGACTCAAGCTCCGCTCGCAGCTTCGCCAATATCCCGGGATACGTGAGCAAGTAGCACATCGCACAAGTCAGAAATCGAGCTGTAGTATCCACACCAGCGAACAAGATAAGCGTGCCCTCATCCTTCAACCGTTGCAGCGTCTTCTCTTCTTCAGGGACTTTAGAGCTGAGTAGCGCATCGAATATTGTCCTAGGCTTGGCTGGCTCCACTCCTTCTTGGCTCTTCTTCAGCGCTTCGATGGAGTATCTCGTGATTCGGTTATCAAAGTCCAACCAGCTGATGATAGACGGGTTAATACGGGTGATCAACCAGGCCGGAATACGCATCAGAACCGCATCCATGGCCGGGAAGAATTTGCGCAGGTTTAACGTCAACGCTACGCCTTTGACGTCTCGCTGGAGCTCACACGGTAATCCAGGCTTATCGAGGTCGCCGAAACTCTCTCCGTACGCGTAGTGCGAGATGATGTCAACCGCGAGGCTGCCAAACATGAGATGTCCGATGAGTGTCTCTTCTGTACGATAGGCCTGTTTCATCAGCATGACCAGCTTATCGACTTTTGACTGGACAACATTCTCGAGATCCGAGATAGACTTCTTGGAGAACATGTTGGCAATGTAACCCCGACGTTGTCGGTGCAGGTCGTGGTCTTTGGTGGAGACCACAGACGTAGCTACGGTTTGTGAGAGCTCGGGGTGCTCTGCAGAGGTAGAGGTACGAAATCAGTGTATGTCTCACATGCACTTTGTACAGTCAAAACTTACTGTTCATTTTCCGTCCAGCGCCTGAGTATACCTCGGTGTAGAAGAAGGGATCATTCAACGAGAGATGGTCTGGGTTAACTCGTACCAGAGGGCCTGCGTGTTATCAGCCAATGTTTTTTGTGCAAAATGCGTCTCGTCGCCAATACTTACCATATTTCTCATGCATTTGGATGACCTTTTTGAGATACTGCCCACCTTGCAGGACATCGTAGTAGAACTCCGCCAGATATGACGCCGTCGCCCACCACGGACCGGGAAAGTGAGCCAATGGGTGAAAGAAGACATTGTAGATAACCTTGCTGGACCAGTACGTCAAGGCAAGTGTGAACAAGCCTGTGACTACGTTGAGTAGATCAAGCTCCATATTCGAGGCCAATCGGCAGCCGTTGTGATCGCGTGAGTGTTTGAGGAGCTAAGGAGGACACACAAGGTGCTCAACGTGCGTGGTCGAAAGAATGGTAGATAAAGATTTTGGGGGTTACACGGCAATCACGCGGCAAGACTGCGCCACATCCGAAAATGGAAGGGCCCTCCCTTCACTGCTCCTTTCCAGCCCTGCGTTTGCGTATGCGCACGGCTATTTTCTCCTTCGGTCGCACCAGTCCAAAAGCCGACTCTCGCAACTCAGGCATCGCTGCATCGATCGAATCCGGATCGCATAGCTGTATCTCGAACTCGTTGAATAGAACAGCCATAGTCGCTGCTTGTATGGCTCTGGAATAATGGCTAGCGAGGTCGAACGCCATCTTGTCACCGATTGCAGGAACCAACAGCTCGAGATTTTCGGCGTCAAATCTCGCCTCATTCATGCTACCGCGGCTCTTTCGCTGACCCCGTGCCTGTGAAGTGTCTTTTTCAATGACCAAGAAGCGCTCAGCCCAGAAATCCTCCAATGGTGTTTCGACAGTGCGTGGCCGCGCCTTTGCCCACACTTTCGTGTTCAGTGCCAAATCTCGCGAAAACGAAATTCCATTGCAATCTTTGGGAAGTATCCACTCGCTGTCAAGAGCAACATCAGCCCTTGGGATAGATATCCTATACTTTGCCACGCGAAGACGGCTGACCTCTGCCTGCAGAGACTGAAAGAGGGGCCTAGCTAGAATCCCATTCACATCATACGCGGCCGCTTTTGCCGGCTTGCTTGCGGAGGCCATCGCAGTGATTTGTTCGGCTAGGTATGGTTTGCGTAGCGATTCGATCGTGGTCCAAATGGCGCAAGGGACCAATTCCACATTCGAGCTATAAGCAGGTCAGCACGACTGTGCGAGCCACGGTATTATAGTTTCACGGAGCATGCCTACTAGTGCAATACGTCTAACATCTCCGCGATTCTTGCCTCAGAAGGTAGCTGGCTGCTCGCAATCATGTCATCAAGTTCTTGGATGAACTTCGAACCCCTATGCTCATCCAGATCTGCGTCGTTAGGTCCAGTCTTCGCGAACTCGGTGCCACTGTGATTGACTTTCAGCCACTTTTCGACGCCCTGCCATAGCCGGTCGAGCGACTCCTTGTAAGGTGGGGTCCTGTACAAATCATCTGTTGATAGGAAACCTTGCATAGCTTCTTCGAATTTCCAGTAGTCTTTAATGAGGCCAGGATACTGCTTGAGGATGGCGGAGCCAAAGAGCAATTCCACAGAGCACCTTGTAAGGACTTGCTCGAGGAACGACCAGACGTCTTCTATCTGGGTCCAGCTGCTGACTTGAAACATCTTATCGTTCATGTTACGCGACAAGATATCGGTATACAGGTTGGTCATGGTGGCCAGCGAGCTGCCTTCCAGATACTTGCATGTTGTCACGCCACGCTCAAAGCTGACATCTCGCATGTGGGCAGCGGCGTCGTCATACTTCTTCTCAAGGTCTTTGCGAGAGAGTACAATTACTTCGTGCATATTCCTCCTTGTGATGACTGGCCTACATGCTTGCATGGCCTTCTTCACATGTTCCGGGTCTCGAAGAACGGCGAAATTCAAGACGAGGAACGGCGCGAACCGTCCATATTCTTCACTAAGATGTGTCAGTACTTTCCAACCACTACCAAAAATGGGATTTACATCAGCTTCGCGAAGTACTTCTGCGTTCCATTGAACACGAAGCCGAGATAATGGGAAGCTATTAGAACAGAGTAGGGAATCGATGGTGGTAATTTCCCGGACGACTCCTTGTCCTTCACGACTGAGTAAAAAATGGATGTTGTAAGATAGTAAGTCAAAGCAGGTGCGATGATCAGGAGGGCGAGTATGAGTACGAGGAGCAACATTGCGGCTGTGATGGAGATGGGATGGATCAAGGTACCTCCAGGGCTAGGTGAGATTTGACGAGCGCGCTATCTAAATGGGGTAACGTCCGATTTTCACGCGTCGCGCTAGTCCCCGCGATCCAATGCACATGTCCGCAATGATGGTCATCGCAAACCCACCCCACACTCTCACAATGGACCGACGCGTGCCAAATGCGAGGTCGAAACAAGGCACTGTCGTTGAGCAGAAACAAAGATTCCTCCAGACCAGGAAACACATCCTATCGCGTCCAATACCGCCATCAGAACGGTTACGCACTCTTGCGCAAGATGGTGGCATTGAACTCAGTGTTATGAAAGGCGTGCTTGATAAAGGTATACAGTCGCCTCACTCATGTGCTCTACGCATCAGCACTAATGACCACCGAACAGTCAATCGCGACCTCAAACAACACTCCCGCAAAGTCTACAGCCGTCAAATGATCGAGCACGTCGTCGAGCAAATAGACATCCTATACTGGGACTCCGGCGCGCAACACGCCGACGACGACAACGAAGACGCGCACACTTCCTCCTCTCTACCCGAAAACGACGCGCACACGCTCTACCAAAACGACGACCTGACCCTCGACGAGAACATCGCAAAGCTCCCAACCACATGGCCCGACCGCGACGCTGAAATAACTCAAGACGAATACCTCTCCTCCGTCTCCCGCCTCCAAGAACTCTCTGCACACCGGCAAACGCTTCAGAACCGGCTCGAATCGTATCGCACACTGCTTTCGCTGCTAGAACCGTACCGCAACCCCAAAGAGAACATACAGCCGAATCTGGTGTGGAAGGATGCGCCGCTTGCGTCGGAGCTGGCAAAGACGCGCACGTTGGCGATACGAGTTGCGGCGCGTGTGGAGGAGAAGTTTGGGGATGTGCAGGTTCCTTCTACGGCGGAGGATGAGGAGGATGTTGATATGGAGGGGCTGGATAATGAAGGGAGGCGGAAAGTGGATGCGGTGCTGGCCAGTTGGTAGTATTGGCCGACCTTCCTCAGTTTGGTGTTTGGAGTACACTTTGGCGTTTAGATATGATACCCCAGATTTATCCCCTCATACATTAGCATACAACGTTTACAAAAAGAAATCGGTTTCGCGAAGCTATTGCTACAGCAAAGACACTTCCGCCCGCTTGCAGCAGCCCGCCAAAACATCCCTCACAACTACAAGCTACCTATAAAATCATCGGGTAGCTATGACTTAACCCCCACCTTCCCCCTCTCCTCAACCGTCCTCGCAATCTCATCTCCCACCTCCGATCCCAACGCCCTAAATCCCTCAACCACACCTTTCTGATCTCCAACCCCCATCTCCTGACTCATCTTCCACTTTCCCCCCAAATCCATTATCTCAATCTGCACCCCAATAATCGCCTTCTTCAATATCTCAATATAACTCGACGGCGCATCGTCAACCTGCCACGGCTTCTCTTCGTAGCCCATAATCCCTTTCTCGGACTGGAGCGACAGGTCTCGGATTTGTTTGTCGAGGAAAGAGCCCGTGGCAGGGTGTTTGGTGTCGTGGTAAATGGTGGCTCGGCCGTAGACTTGGACGGCGGAGTAGTTCCACGTGGGCACTACTTTTCCGGTCGCGGGCTTGGTTTCTGTGTAGAATTTGGGGGTTACGTAGTGGTGCGCTGGGCCGTTGAAAAGTACCATGATGTCGCGTGAGAGAGTCTGGACTGGCTGGTCTGTGTCGGAGTTGGTTTGCGATTTGAGATGTTCGATTAGGACTTTGGCTTGGGGGTTGGCGCGGGCGATATGGCCGCGGAGGACGCCGAGATGGGTCGAGTCGGCTTTGGGTTGTTCGGTGTCTAGGACCCAGGGGACGTGACTCGATTGGAGGAAGGGAAATGATCTGGATTCAATGGCTGTGGTGAAGATGCCTAGTGGGTTTGCGCGGATGAACTGGTGAAGTTTGGCAACATCTGCCTCAGCATGAACGGCGCGAAGATACATCGTGGGTGGCTACAGGTTGTTAATATCGTTAACTTGGAAATACTGAAGCGTTGGCAATGTCGGTTTTGTTGATTATGGATGGCCTTAGGAAGTAAGTTCGTTTGAGAGTATTTAAGGTCTCTTCTGTGATATACATGTGTTGGGCTTTCCATACATAGACATTCTCATTGCGTTATAGGGCGTGGAAAGAACGACATAGCGTCTACAGCGTGTATCCCAAAGTCCTAGCTAAATATTGTTTGATGATACGGAAACGTGAGAGCTAGAGCGCGAACACAAAAGGACGAAGCGTGTCTATCCGCTCTTTGCCGGTCAAGTGCTCAGCGGTGAACATACCCATGTTGGGAATACTTTCTATTCTGAGAAGTTTAGATGAGTTGAACACATTCAGTATGCGATAGCGACAACCTGGTCGTGTTGTGCACTCAGTACTGCAACCAGTGGAGCTTGCCTGGGTGTGATCCAAGTGACGTCATGCAGCCGTCAATAGTACAACGCGGCACGTTATACGGCGTCCTGTCTCGTGAATTGACCGGGTCTTTTCGAAACTTTACTGACAGCTCGTCTATGAGACCTCAGTACATCTAGCATCGTAGATGTCGAGAAGCGAAATACCGAGCCGTGTTGTCGGAAATGCTCCGCACAGAAGGTGGGGTTGAGTCCTGATGCGGTAGGCGCAAGCGACTATCCTGATAAACGCAGTACGTATGAGCGTTATCATCGCCCTTTAGTCCGGCGCCAGTATCGCTACAGGTGTCTCTCTGAGCATTAGACAGACTGTACTTCCTACCAAACTTCTGTCATTGCCGCAAACAGCGTACGCACATCGACAATGAGTTCTGACTGGGAGCAGCTTGCTGCCGACAAACGAAAGCGCATTGCCGAGTCCATTCCCTCAGAGTGGCTGATCCGAACACCTCCGAGCGACAACAATGTGTTTGCGTATCCAAAGGAATCAGGCCTGCTTTCTGCAAAAGAAATCGAGATTACCGAATCAGCGGCGACTGACCTTGTTGCACAATTGGCGCAGGGCAAGCTGAAATCGGTCGATGTCACGCTTGCGTTTTGTAAAAGAGCTGCTCTAGCACAGCAACTGGTGAGATGCGTTTGATGATAGGTACAGGTGCATCGACTAACGAGGCTCATAGACGAACTGTGTACATGAGTTCTTCCCCGAAGAGGCTCTCGCACAGGCCCGTGGGCTGGATGAGTATTATGCTAAGCATAACAAGCCCAGTGGTCCTCTGCATGGACTTCCCATCTCACTGAAAGATCAGCTACGGATCAAGGTATGAAGCGGTTCTCTTCCTATCTGTGCTGCTTTACCTGCCTAAGCACTCACTTCACAACTGACACGCTCGATCAGGGAAAAGAGACATCAATGGGTTACGTCTCCTGGTTAGGAAAGTACGACGAAGAAGACTCCCTCCTCACGGCACTCCTTCGCAAAGCTGGTGCCGTCTTTTACGTCAAGACAAGTGTCCCGCAAACATTGATGGTTTGCGAAACCGTCAACAACATCATCGGCAGAACGACAAACCCACGCAACAAGAACTGGTCGTGCGGCGGAAGTTCAGGTGGTGAAGGAGCTATGATCGGCATTCGCGGAGGCGTCATTGGTGTTGGCACCGACATTGGCGGCTCGATTAGGATCCCATCGGCTTTCAACTTCTTGTATGGAATTCGTCCGAGTCATGGTCGTATGCCGTATGCGAAGATGGCGAACAGTATGGAGGGACAGGAGACTATTCATAGTGTCGTTGGACCCATTGCGCACTCGGCAGCCGGTAAGTGGATTGAGGCCAACTCATGTCCAAAGCTAGGCTGACTTCACAGACCTGAGGCTGTTTCTCACTTCGGTACTCCAACAAGAGCCCTGGAACTACGATTCTAAAGTTGTCCCAATGCCTTGGCGATCTGACCTCGAGGATGCTGTCAAAGCAAAGCTGAGTTCGTCTGGTCTTACCATCGGATACTATAATTGTGACGGCAACGTGAGTCTCACAGACATATAGCATGATCGCGTTCGCTAAAAGTACAGGTCCTCCCACATCCTCCGGTACTGCGCGGGATTGAGCAGGTAGTTGATGTCTTGAAACAAAACAAACACAAAGTCGTGCCATGGACTCCCTACAAGCACGACTTTGCCCATGATCTCGCTAACAAGATTTATGGCGCAGATGGTAGCACGGTAAGATCCTCGCAATTGGCCTTACTCAGTTTCGCATAGCTAATCATTCAACAGGACGTGATGAGGGACATCAAAGCTTCCGGAGAGCCACCCATCCCCAACATCAAAGAACTCCTCAACCCGGATATCCAAAAAGCCGACTTGAACGATGTATGGGACATCCATCTGCAAAAGTGGGACTACCAGATGCAGTATCTGTCCAAATGGCGAGAGGTCGAGGCTGAACTTGGATGCGAGCTTGACTGTATAGTCGGCCCCATCAGTCCAACAGCTGCCATCCGACACAACCAGTTCAAGTACTATGGCTATGCGTCTGCCATTAACTTGCTTGACTTTACAAGCGTCGTCGTTCCTGTCACTTTTGCGGATAGCAAGGTCGATGGCAAGCGGGCGGATTACAAGCCATTGAGTGACTTGGATGCGAGTGTTCAGGCGGAATACGAGCCTGATGCTTATCACGGCGCGCCGGTTGCTGTTCAAGTGATTGGCAAGAAATTGAGCGAGGAGAAGACGTTGGCGATTGCGGAGGAGATTGGGAGGTTGTTGGGTAACGTGGTGACGCCGTGAAAGATAGTCGAATACAGATGTACTGTTAACTGGTATCAATTCCAAGGTTGGGATCACATCAAGCACGTGCCTTCGCATCTACGTACCTCCAGGACGGGCATCCCATTAAAGTACCATGCCACTACAGAGGTGCTGTACACACACAAAGACAAAAGAAAAGGTGCAAGTGTCAAGACGAATACTGGAAGTCTTCAGGATAGTGCAAGCTATGGGCGTGTGTGATCCACACATGTGGCGTGAGTGTTGAAAGTTCGGCCAATTGAGTCAAGGGCTTGGCGTGCGCCTCAGTGTGGCGCTGGCGCGTAGCTCTTCATAGAAGGTGGGAACAGCCTGGCGCGTGCGCGGTCTAATACGGCAATACGGAGCGAATTCCTGGTAGCAGAACGTCATCGAGTACGGGGAGGATGCTCAGATCGGGTCCATGCATGTGCCTCAATCTTAATGCTCCTTACCCACAGAGACGGGTCGCGGACGACAGACAGTGTTGACAAAGGTGTTGTTCTGTTACATGCAGCAAAACCACTGTGTCGCTGTCAGCCTCAAAGAGAAAGGGCCTAGGCCAAACGGCTGTCTGTAGTTTCAGATTAAAGACCAGGCCAGCGGTTGTTTGGCTCAAACGGCGGGCGGTTGGCGTAGTAGCGCGCCCACCAGCGCCAGTGACGCCGCCAAGCCCCCGACTGACCGCGTATCAGGGAATGCGAGGCTTGAAACACGTCGCCGTGTGCGCCATGCCAGTCACCTCCAAGTCCATAATGAACCCTCTCTTTGACGTTCTCATTCACACCCTCTGTGCGACTCTACTCCCCTAATAATTTATCTGCAACCGCAAACCACCGCGGCTGCTCTTCCCTGCCCTTCTTCCATGGCCATCTGCGCTTAAGACAGGGGTTCCGATTCACAACTTGACCGCATACGCGACCTGCACCGCTCTGAGCCATGTCCGACCCCAACAAGCCATCGCCAGAGTCGCGGCGGAACCAGAGCATCGAGAACTTCGCCGCGTCGCTCTCCACCGCCGCTGCCATCTTCGGCATCCAGATTGTTGTTTTCTTGATTCTGAGTGGCAACTGGAAGCTGCACAAAGGCGCCTCCAAGAAAAAGACCAAGGACGATGCAGACCAGGCCGACAAGGCGGCGGCGCGACAGAGTCTGTTCCACAAGATATAGTATGCGACGCACGCTTCCCTGCCTACATATCCCCATGTGCTAACCATTGCCAGCTACTACAAGACCGCCTTCGTCCCCGTAGCCAAGCGCATCGCAGCGCCCACGACCGCTATCGACTCATTCCGCAATGTCTTCACCATCAGCGACAAGGAGCTCATCCGCGTCGCCGGTGTCGATGGCTACCTCTTCCTCCAGTACCTGCAGCTCCTGCTCCGCATCTTCATACCCATGGCCCTCATCATCCTGCCTGTCCTCCTGCCTATAAACCGAAAGGGCGACGAGCCTGGTGTCTCGGGCTTGGACTCCTTCGCCTGGCCCAACGTCGCCTTCCCGAACAAGAGACATCGCCTGTGGGCGCACTGTGTCATTGCCGTATCCGTTGTATGCTGGGTGTGCTTCAATTTCTACCTGGCACTGAGGCAGTTCGTGCGCCTCAGGCAGACCGTTCTTACCAGGCCCGAGCATCGCATCCGCGCATCTGCCACCACTATTCTCGTGCAAAGCATTCCCGAGAAGTGGCTCACGGTCCCCGCTCTCGACGCCCTCTACGATGTTTTCCCCGGCGGCATCAAGGATATCTGGATAAACCGCAACTATGACGATCTCATGGACAAGGTCGACGAGCGAACCAAGGTCGCAAGAGCTCTCGAATCGGCCGAGACGAATCTCATCATCACATGCACCAAGAAGCACAAGAAGATGGAGGAGAAGGCTGCCAAAGAAGCTGGAAAGAAGAAGTCCAAGAAGGAAAAGAAGCACGACGAGGCGATGCAGAACCACGCAATCAACCAGGAGACTCACGAGCAGGGTGTGGACGCCGGTAACCCCCACGAGATCGAGCAACAGCTGCAAAAGGTCCTACAAGAGTCTGCGTCGTCCTCATCCTCTTCTTCACGCTCAACTTCACCTGATCGCAAGCGCGGCGTGAATATGAATCCTCTGCCGTTTTTGGGAGAAGGCATGCACGCTGTGGGTAAAGGCTTCCGCGATGTCGGCCAGGGTGTGGATCGCTTCAACAAGAACGTCTACGGTGGAATGCGAGGTGTTTTCGGTGGAAAGTCCCGTCAGGCTGGCCAAGCTAGGAACCCTGAGCAAGTGCAGCCAAGTTTCGACGGCAGCGATGAGGTTCCGGCATCGTCACCCACATCTGCCGACTACCACCAAAGGGCCGCTAGCAGCGACACCCACACCCCGTTGGCGACCAAAGAGAAGTACGACTCTGAAGGTACCGTGACAGAGCCCAACTCTCCACAGACGAATTTGAAAGCACCCGCAGCCGGGACGGACACCAAAGAAGACAGCCCTGTACAACCTGCATGGAAGCACCCACTCAACAAGCTCAAGGCCATGTACGTCGGTCATGGTGACTTCATAAGCCCAAGTCCATTCGTGAAAGAGGGAGAAGAGCTACCATTAGAGGTCAAGGATGCCAGTAAGATCAAGTACGACCTATCAGGCTTGTACGACGAGTCTATGGAAGAGGACGGCGAGGACGCTCTCTGGAGAAAATACATGAAGCCAAAGGACCGAGAAACGATGCGTTTGCCCATCTTGAACTTCTCGTGGTGGCCGTCGCTGCCTCTGATTGGCAAGAAGGTGGACACCATCTACCATTGCCGCAAGGAGCTTGCCCGCCTCAACGCTGAGATTGCCGACGACCAGGCTCACCCAGAGCGCTTCCCACTGATGAACTCGGCATTTATTCAATTTAACCACCAGGTTGCTGCACACATGGCCTGTCAGTCACTGAGTCACCACATTCCCCGGCAAATGAACCCACGAACCGTCGAGGTTAACCCCAACTACGTCATCTGGGACAACTTGACCATGAAGTGGTGGGAGCGCTACCTACGCATGTTTGGAGTTATTCTACTCATCGTCGGACTTATCATCTTCTGGGGTATTCCCGTCAGTTTTACAGGAGCTCTGTCCCAAGTCGACTCTCTGACCGAAACATTGCCATGGCTTGGATTCATCAATGATGCTCCCGACTGGGTCGTTAGTCTGATTCAGGGTGTGTTGCCACCAGCCTTCTTGGCCATTCTCTTCGCTATCCTGCCCCTACTCCTGCGCTTCCTGGCTGGTCTTACTGGTACGACAACGTTCGGTGAACGCGAGCTGCTCGTGCAGAACTTCTACTTCGCCTTCGTCTTTGTCCAACTGTTCCTGGTTGTTTCCATCTCTACCGGTATCACTTCGACCATCGACGATCTGCTCAACGATCCCCTCAGTGTCCCCCAGACATTGGCGCAGAACCTCCCAAAGGCCGCCAACTACTTCTTCTCTTACATGATTCTGCAAGCGCTGAGTATCAGTTCCGGTACTCTGCTGCAAATTGGTGCTGTCGTTGTCATCATCTTCCTCCGTTTCTTGGACACCACACCGCGCGAGAAGGTTTCAAGGGTGTTGCAAAGACCGGGTATCAACTGGGGTACCATGATCCCGGTCTATACCAACTTTGCCGCTATTGGTAAGTTTGTCTATCGAGATAAAACTTTACACAAACTAACGATATCCAGGTCTCATCTACTCTGTCGTCGCGCCCTTGATCCTCATCATGATGTTGATCACCTTCAGTCTCTTCTGGTTCACCTACAGGTACCAGATGATTTACGTCAGCTACGCCAAGGCTGAAACCAACGGTCTCATCTTCCCGAAGGCGGTCAACCAGCTGTTTACTGGACTCTACTTCCTCGAGCTCTGCATGATCGGTTTGTTTTTCCTGCAGGAAGACGAGCAGGGGAGGCAATCGTGTTTCCCTCAAGCTATTATCATGATCATCATTATGATCTTCACTGTGCTTTACCAGGTCGTGCTGAACAGAGCGTTCGGGCCTCTCTTCACGTACTTGCCAATCACATTCGAAGACGAGGCGGTCATGCGAGATGAAGAGTGGCAACGGGCACAGGCCAGCAAGTGGGAACGGGAGGATGAACACCAAGGTCTTATGTCTCAGGAAGACGCACAGCGGACAGCCGAGGAGCGCGAACGAGCCCACCTAGACGAACAAAACCGCCTCGAGGAAAGGAAGGAACGCGAGGCAGCCTACGGCCCCGGATCATACGAGCTCACCAACCTGGATGGTAACATGCCACCTGCCGGCTACGAGCAGTCACCCCGACCCGACAACCGCCCGCGCAACTCCAGCTGGGCGGACCGCTCTCAGCGCTCCCGTCGCAGTTCCAAATCGCGCTCGCAATCCCACCACAAGAAGCGCAAGGACCCTCTAGACATAATGACCAACGCCCTCAAGAAAGGTCTCGACGACGTCGCAAAGCCCATCCGCGACGCAGAGGCACAAGTCCTACCCGCCAGCAACCTCTTCGACGAAGTCGACGACGAGCTCGCCGACATTGAGCCTGAAGCCCGCCAGAAGCTCATCAAGCGCTCTTTCCAACATCCCGCGACCCGCGCTATCCAGCCCGCCGTTTGGATCCCGCATGATGACCTGGGTGTTGCTAAGGACGAGATCCAGCGTACTAGTGCGTTTACCAAGCGCGTGTGGATCACGAGTGTGAACGCGCGGTTGGATGCGATTGGCAGTGTTATTTACAGGGGATTACCGCCAGATCGGGATCCGTTTGAGAACATTGAGGTTTAGACGGGTAGTTGTTCAGAACGATGGGAGGTGGACTTGTTGTATCATCATTGTAGGGGCTGTTTTCTTTTCTCTTTCATGTTAGCCGTTCGCGGCACCTTTTATAGCATACAAGCATAGCGTGGAGTTTCATGGCATTGGGGGGGCATCAGATGCATTCGTCTTCTTCTAAGACTATTACTACCTATTCCGTATAACTACCTGACCTTATCAGGCAAACGCCTCATCTATCAATGCATCCATATCATCAACACCATCCTCCCAGTCGCACAGGGAGTCGTATGTTGCCGCATTCGCAAGCCCATCATCCGCTGCAGCTGCAGCGTCACGAGCATCCATCATCTCCCCAGCGGAATTTTGCTCCACGATCAAAGAATCTTCCGGTAGCGGGGGGTCCGCCCACCAACTGTCATCCGCTGGACACGCGGGATACGTGAAGGCCGGGAGGTCGTCAGCAGGCGCCACATCCCCGATCCAAAGTTCTTGGTGCATCGGGGCGTCCGCCCATGTACTCTCAGCCGCTGGATCCGCGGGGAAAAAGGAGGCCGGGAGGTTCTCAACGGTTTCTACAGCTTCGGCGCTGTCTTGCTCATGCCCTTGTAGGCGGCAGGGGGTTCCTGCCTCGACGCGTGCGTCGATGGTGGTAGGGGTGAAGTCGGCAAATAGGGCCGGGTCGAACGCGAAATCCTCCTCTAATGAGGAGTTGGCGGTCGTGGTGGTGGTGGTGGTGTCAGGGGTTGGTTCCTGAACTACGACCACGGGCTTAGCCTTCGGAGGCCGTCCCCTCTTCTTTGGTACCTTTGGTACCTCATTCTCAGGCTTGGCCTTGGGAGGCCTGCCCCTCTTCTTTGGTACCTTTGGTACCTCGTCGTCCACGCCTGACTGCCTCTTCCTCTTGATAGGTGCGGAGGGAATGGGGACGGCAGGAGCTGTTGGCCATGTTGGAGGCACTTCCCGTGTGAGGTCAAAATGCTGACCATTGGTAGTAGCATCGATGATGCCACTCTGCTGCTGAAACCCAGGCGTGAAAGGCGCGAAATGCCTCCTAGCATTCTGGAACATGGGCCTCGGGACGAAAGCAGTCTGAACCACAGGCTGACTAAACCTCTGTGGCTGCTGTGCGTAGGGGGAAGAATAGCAATTAGTAGCAGCGACGCCAGGAGCATTCACGGCGCCGGGTTGTGACCTACCCGGCATGTGAGAAGGGTATTGTTGCTGGAAGGGGGCGAAACCAGCAGGATAGCAATTTGTGGCAGCGACGCCAGGAGTGCTCACGGCGCCAGGTTGTGACCTACCCGGCATGTGAGAGTAGTATTGCTGGTTGAGGGCGAAACCAGCAGGAAAGCAATTGGTGGCAGCGACGCGGGGAGAGGGGAACTGTTGTGGTTGTGGCATGCTCATTTGTTGGGGTGGGTAGGTTGGCCTTGAGGCGGTGATGTTGATATATTGGCGCAAGCTTGAACTCCACATGCGGGTGGTTTGGGTTGCGGTGTCGAAGAAGGAAGACATGTTGGTGGATGTGGAGGGTATCTGTTGTGTGTGGGTGAGTGGTATTGAGGTGGAGTGTGTGGGTGGAGAATTTGGTAGTTGAAGATATTTTCGAAAGTTGTGATGGTGAGTGTGATTTGAACTGAGAGTTTGAGATATTAGGAGAGACGGAAGGGGATATCAGCTATTTATTGCAGCGCAGGAAAGAAGATATTCGGACTGCAATTTATCGTAACTATGGTTCATCTGAGATATTTTCACGACTGTATGCTATGGATGTGGCAGCGGTGTTGGAGGCCGAGCACATAGGCGAAATCAGACCAGTAGAGAGCATTGCAATTACCTGAGGATACATGGAAGCGTCCTCCAAGGCATCCATTTGTCGCTTAGACCACAAAAACAAGCCTATCCAGTCGATGTCCATTACGCACGACCTCGCACACATGGTTGATCTGTGACTCTTCTCAAAATTTCCGCGAGCCGAGCCTTTATGCTAATCGCTTGTGTCGGGGCCACAACCCGTGATGGTACCAAAATCCCCTTGAGTCAAGCTTCCGACCCAAGGCACCCATATCGCGCGGCAAAGCACGGATGTTCTGCTCTTCCATGAGCTCCCCCACCCATTTGGCGAACTCCTGGCGCGTCTCCACCTCCTCCTTAGTCATCGACGACTCGGTCATGGAGCTGAAGCTCATGATGAGATCGAACCAGTCGTACACGCGCATATCAGCAATGATCCAGCGCTTGCCCGGCGTGAACTTCCGATGAGTCGCGATTATCGCTCTTGCGACGTCTTCGCCGTGGATGAAGTGCACAGCGCCTCGCTTAGCAACATCGTCTTTGGACTGGCCGAGGCGAGGCAGCCATCTCGCGGGGACGCGCTCGCCGCCGTATAGACCCGATAAATTCAGCACACAGCCGTGGAGCGCTAGCAATTCGTCTTCGGCAACGGCCCGCTTATCCTCCTTGTCGTATGGCGCGTCATCAGCGCTCCAGTCATTGGGCAGTTTGTTGAAGATACCCGTGGATCCAAGCTGCACCCAATTGTTCTTTGCGCCGTGAACTGAGCGATAGAGGCCTACGATGGTCTTTGACTGCGAGTGCCCCACCAGTGGAAAAGTGATGATTACGGTTTGCGCCGCTGGCAGGCGCTTGTATGGCTCCGCATCACCAGACTCCGGGTCGAACTTGAACGGAATCGTGTGGTCTCTTCCGCTGGTGGTGGTTGCAGCATACGTGATATCGGTGTCCTCCAGTTGCGGAATCAGGAACGTGGATGTCCATCCAGCGCCCAGAATCAGTAAGTCCACCTCTTTCATTTGCTCGCGTAGCATACTGTGTTGCGGGTGTGGCGATTATTGCCGTGGAAAATCTAGCATACACGAAAGATCTGCTGTTTGGGTGTTATAATTTTCAAGAGGTTGCGCCAATGGGTGACACAAGGTGGGAGCCACAGCTGGTGTTGTCGTATGAAGTCGTGACGTCTCCACACGAGCCAAATTAGCTTGCGTTCCGCACGGCCCATCTGTTCGGCGCAACCATCCGCACGGGAATTCTGGCTAACCTGCAGGAGGCTGATGTTACATATTTGAAAGCCTACATACTTCAGACTTTTCTGGGCTATAGGAGGTCATGGGCTGTGTATGCTGCATCTCAAGGTGGAGGTAAGTACCATGTTGCAAGCGACGAAGATACTGGGTTTGGCCTCTAGAAACTTGGTTCTGGAGATGTCAATCCAGCCATAAGAATCCAATGGGGCCAAGTCAAACCGTACTCATGGCAGGCGCCATCTCAGTCCAGACGAAAGTCTCCCGATTAGGTAAATTGCAGAGACGTGGATTGTCGCAAATCTGCTTTCAGTCAAAATCTGGAATTGACGTCATGTGCGGAAGCTTGTTCTCACGTGCCAGCGCGGAAGCCCATTACATCTGAAACGCGCTGATTGGCTGCTTCCACTTCCAGGGGCCGCGTCTTCGTCATCACTATGAGCTGCGCATCAGCCCGCGAGCTCAGATAAGTTGTCGCAAAGATCATTCGTTCATTGTGTGCTGTTTGCGCATTCCAATTGATCATCCAATGCGAACATCACGAGTTTCCCGAGACGCGTCCCGCGTTGTCGCAGCGAGTCGCACGCAACGAGCGTTACGTCAGACACGAAGCGCGACCAATGCGCCAGCTCCAGTCAAACGCGAACCAGGCAGCGACGAGAATGCTGGATCAGATTCAGACCTCAGCTCTGCGCCGGCGGACTCCGCCTCAGATGGCGAGACGCGACGAATGCCTATGAAGAGGAAAAGAGGCCAGGACATGCCAATCATTGTGAAGAAGGAGGTAGAGGAGACATCAACCACTGCAATCGCGTCCCCGAACAAAGTCGCCAAGGTCAAGAAAGCGCGTCGTGCGCCTGCGAAGAAAATCAAGACCAGCGATGGAACTGTCACGATGGAGCCACCTGCGAACTGGGAGGAGATATATACCTTGACGAGGGAAATGCGGAACGAGAACCTTGCACCGGTGGACACTATGGGTTGCGAGAGCCTGGCGAAGGACATCAGGTCGCCTCGTGATCGACGTTTCCAGACGCTCATAGCTTTGATGCTGAGCAGCCAGACCAAAGATACTGTCTTAGCGCCTGTCATGCGAGGCATGCAGGAGAGGATGCCTGGGGTACGTTGATTCGAAGCTATATGGCTGTTCCTAGCTAACAGTGCAGGGCTTCAACCTCGAATCGGTCCTCGCCTTAGAACCCCCCGAACTGAACGCGTTCATCAACAAAGTCGGCTTCCACAACCTCAAGACCAAGTACATCAAACAAACGGCCGAGATATTGAGAGACAAATTCAACGGGGAAATTCCAGATACTATCGAAGGGCTTGTGTCGCTACCGGGTGTCGGACCTAAGATGGGGTACCTGACGATGAGCGCAGCTTGGGGCAAAACCGAGGGTATTGGTGTCGATGTCCACGTCCACCGCATAACCAACCTATGGGGCTGGCACAAGACGCAGCAGCCAGAACAGACGCGTGCAGCACTGGAGTCATGGCTACCAAAAGACAAGTGGCATGACATCAATAACCTGCTGGTGGGCTTTGGGCAGACGATATGCCTGCCCGTGGGTAGGAAGTGCGGCGATTGCAAGTTGGCGGAGAGAGGTCTCTGTCCTTCAGCAGTTGTAGCCAAGAGCACGAAAGTCAAGAAAGAAGCTGTTGTGAAAGTAGAAGCTCCCAATGGCAGCGAAGAGGCGGTGGTGAAAGAAGAGCAGGTGGTGGCTGAAGTCGATGAGATCAAAGCTGAAGATGTAGAAGTTGCGATAGACATAGAAGATATTGGGCAGGCGCCACGAAGGAGGCCGCAGAGAAAGAAGTAGTAAGTAGTCCTGAAACATATCCTGAAGCCATGGCACGGCGTCTGACCTTGAAATCAGAAGCGCACACCTTGAACACAGTATTACATTTTGTCGCGTCGGTTTGGTGTTTAGCAGCAAACGCTCTAGTACGGTCCTGGAGTGGGCCCTTTCGTCATGCAGACATCGGGACCATATCGCGCCTTCCAGTCTTCACCGGGCAACAGCACGCGTTCGAGCTCTTGTCTTCATTTCTCAGTCTACTCACCGTGAACCTCTGCGAGCGCCCCCAAACGAGTGCCGACAGCCCTTTTTTCACATCCTCCTCTAGACAATTCACTGCGTACCAGCCAAGTGCTGCCTAGTAAGGCACGGTCTTTGGTCCCTGGCGACCTCATCCGTGGTACTCAAATACGCTCCCCCCACGCCTACTTAAGCATTCGCGATTGGCCCACCCCTCAACCACACCTGAGAAGAGACATTCCACCGATCTTACTTCCGCAGACGCATGCCCACAACGCCGCTGCACCTACATCACAGCAGCTAACTACTACAAGGCTCAACGACCAGCACCCACTACGACGCCATCCACCACTGTGGGAGCCAGCACCATGCCATCTCGACCAGAATACGAGGCGCCTACTCGGAGTCAGTCACAACGTGAGGGCCATTGCACTGCATTTGGATCATCAAACTCCGATCCTGCATACGTCCCCATTCTCCAACGCGCCTTTCCGCGCGTCGCGATTCTACTGACATGCGCCATCTACCTCGCATCGTCATTCGCAGCTGTCTACGTCGGACTCCACGGCATCGCGAACACCATATACCCTCGGCATAACCAAGCGGTTGACGAGTATTTGGTGCTTTCACAATCCAAGTACACAGAGGATGCACTGTACAAGAATTTGGATAAACTTCTCTCTAGCCAACTAAACCGCGGCTTCATGGAGACTCATGAAGACTGTCTTGTCCGCGGTCTAAAGGAGGCCAACTACGAACTCTACGGCCTCGGCTTTCAGTACCCTGACATGCGCACGCAAGTCATGGACTGGACGATGGAGAACTGTGGTAGACTGCAGTACACGCCACAAGTGGTGATACAGGACCCAACCCCACAGCAGGCTGTGCTGACATACTGGGCGGATGCGAGCTATCGCTCTCGCCGCATGCTTGAGGGAGCTCTGGGAGCCGTGCAGCAGCAGGCTCGTCGTTTCTGGAACCGACTTTTCAGCGCGTTCACGGATAAGAAAACATCTCCCATCACCGAACACGTTCCCGTTAGTGTCAACACTAGCGGAACTCTTCCTCCGAGTCGAGCCCTGCCCAAAGTACCGTTCGGCTTCGCTCTACGCTGCGAGCCCACCGAACCATGCCGCCTAGTCTACCCATCCGGTTCTTCAAAGCGTGCAAACAAAGTCGGCGTCTCACGCGAGGCCCTCGCGAAGCTCAAACGCGAGATCAAAGAAATGCGAGACGCCACCCGCCAGGTCAAAAAAGCTAAATTGGTTACGGAGCAGGTTGTGATCTTTTTCGACTACATCCACGCCTCTATCTTGGTGGTCATGTTTGCGATCATCTTCAGTGTGGCACCGTTTGTCATACCCAAGGCCGTTCGCCCTCCTCCCCCCTCTTCCCGCGATACAACAGAGATCAAATTCAGGGTCGCATCCCTGCATTTCACTTTTATAGGGAGACTGATACAAGAGCTACTTTTTTCGTACCCAATACAGCTCCCGTTTGTCGATCTCTTAGATCTTTCATATGGCGCCCGGTGGGCAACGCCCTTCCAGATCTGCTTCCTGTTTGTTGGTAACAACATGCTTCTTCAATTCTTCATCCTTACCCGACCGCGGTTCGAGAATGTCAACCTCGCATACAAGCAGATCAAAGAGCTCTACTTCATCGCCCGAGGGTGGGACGTACCTGACGGAGCGATGGACGACATGTTGACTTGGTACGGAATTCACATTCAGCCGGCGGACCCCAAACCCAAGCCTACGGAGGTTCCTGGCGGAGCGATGGATAACATGTTCAGTTGGATGGGACGCTTTGTAGCGGCGGACTCCGACTTTCAGCCTCCGCCGGCACCTAGCGGAACGATGGACAAGATGCTCTATCGGTGCGGAATTCAATTTGTATATGCGGACCCCAGTCTCAAGCCGACGGAGGAACCGGCCACGGTCAAAGTAACCATGTCTTCCCCAACCGATAACCGCCAACAGCACGGGCAGTCGCATCCATCGCACCAGGGTCTGGTCGCTCCGACCACTTCGCTCCAGGAAGGTCCCGAGGCGCACCTCACGAAGGTCCAAGAAGCGTCAAAATCTCAGTCGGCCGTGTATATCAATGTTCCCGATATCGGATCCGTCGTCGATACCGACAGCGAGACCGAGTCTGAGGACGAGCATGGTAGCTTCGTCGACCTGGCCTGTGGCGTTACGCCTCAAGTCAGCGATGCGGAATCTGGCTGGTCTATTGTGGATGCTTAGAACAGGCATGAACATTTAGTATGAGCTATGACACGGTTGTTGTCTCATGGCATGTAGTACGGGAGTTGTCAGGCATGTCAGCGCTAGAGCTGTTTCGTCTGGCACGTGTGGTGCACGTATGGTATATGTACATGAACATAGTTCTTTTCACGTGGCGATCGATGTCGGCCTTAAGGGTTGTCGGTATCTACTAGTAGTATCAGCTCAATGTAAATGATAATTTCATGTTATCCCCGTTCGTGACCATGATACCAAGAGATGTCGAGCATGAAGATGAGATGGTTGGGAAAGATAAGATGATTCGGCATGGTTAGAAGTCAGTGAAAGTTGACATGATCTACACCTCTTGGAGGACTTGCCAATCGGGACTACGTGCATGTTACCCATAAGCTGAAGGGGTGGTGAGCGACCGGGAGGGTGAACAGAAAAACCACCACAATCTACGGTTTTTGCGACGAGTTACTTGATTAGGAAGGAGTTTGATGTGAGATGAGACGAAACAGAGTTGGGAGCCCGACTTTTGCTTCGAGCCCAAGTAACCATCACAGCGAACGACATCACCAAAGCTTAAACTTCTCAAGAATGTAACATTAAAAGTACACTACACTACCACATCCTAGATCTACCAACCAACTAATCTCAAACACCCGCTCCAGAACTCCAGCGCTTTTACAAATCACCCTACACGTCCCCCTCTCCCTATTTCTTCCCATTCCCATTCCCATTCCCATTCCCGTTCCCATTCCCATTCCCCACACCAAGACACTTCCCCGCATCCTCCAATTCCCCCAACACCCTCATCTCAAGCTCACTCAGCGCATCCTCACCTGCTCCCTTCCTTGAACTCAGCATCTCCAGCTCGCGCTCATCAACAGCAACAATACGTTCACGCAGCGCACTCTTACGACTGAGCCAGCTCTCAACGTCTTCCTTGATGTTTTCCTTATCCCAGTCTAGGAGGGCGACTTCGTTGGCTTGGATACCCAGTTTGGGACCCTGTTTGCGGACGTTTTCGAGGATGCTGGCGATGAGCGCTAGGGAGTGGACTTCGGATGCGACGGTCAGTGTGATTTTTGTGGCGGATGTGCGGGACGAAGGGTTTGAGTTTATGCTTAGGGCTGAACGGGCGAGTTGCTCGGGGAACTGGTTTAGGAAGGATGAGATTTCCGCGGCGATGGGCGGGCCGACGGAGAGGAGGAGGTTGAGGCAGAGGGGCAGGATGCCTTTTGTCCATATGCTGTACATGCGGGATGGGTTGTCGAAGGGTCCCATGCCGTTGGTGCGGCGGTAGTAGTTCATGATGTTTGCGGTGTTGAGTTGGCTGAGTATGCCTTCCACGGCCATAGTTTCGGCCAGGGCTGAGATGCTCGATAGAGAGAGTAGGAAGAGGACGCTGAGCTCGCCGTAGATGGGGTCGTCGACGCCGTTGTGGGAGATTGTCAGGCGGTCGGCCCATGAGAATAGACTGGTGGCGTAGCGCACGGTGTTGCTGTTGGCGAAGAGGAGAGCGGCTTGCTGTTGCCACTTCGACATCTCTGGTATCGCAATGATACGTTGGAGAAGCGCAGTGAGGAGGGCGAAGTCAGATGGCGAGACGGAGGCAGGTTCGGCGTGGAGTTGGTTAGCCAGGCTGCGGAAGCCTTTTGCAACCGTGTCTGACAGAATCTCAAGGAGTTGGGTGGAGATGGGTTCCGTGTATTTGTTGTGGCTTGTGGGCATTGTGCCGCGGAAAGAGGAGCGGAAAGATGCATCGTCTGACGTGTCCGTGTCTTCAATTAGATGGAAGTGAAGGGCCAGGTAGAGGATCCGTAGCAGAGACCGGTAGTAGTACACAGCGTCAGTCGAAAACACGTTCTCGAAATCAGGCGTAGAAGTGCGGATGGCGTTCCATACTGGAGCGAGTAGTTGGCGTGCCTCGGTCGTTCGTACTTTGGCCTCCACCAGCTTCTTGAGCAGTGCGAAAGCCAGATCTGCTCGCAGGACCATGAGCTGGCCAAACAACGCTTCCGGAAGATTCGATTGTTGATTGGCAACCATGCACTTCTGAATGACTCCGACAAGGACCTTGACAATGCGCTCATCCTTTGCTACAACTTGGCTCAGCTCAAGAGCCAGTAGCTTCCAGCCTTGGAGCAGTAGGACTTGAGACTCAACAAGGCCAAGGTTGTAGTTTGCCTTCTCCACTTCGGCAGCGAAACCCGTACCTTCTCTAGGACCTGTCCATTTGCTGTTGAAGCCCAAAAGCTGCTGAGCAAGGTCGATGTCGTAGAAGAAGGCGCGTCCGAAGGTCTCCGGGTAGAGCGTGGTCCGCTTGAGGTTGCCTAACGAGACACCAGGATACTGTTGCTCGAGATTTTGTTTGAGATAGCCGTGCAGGGATGTACTGTATGACGGCAGCTCCAAGGCAGTATCTTCCAGGTATGTCAGGCTCGGCACAACATCCTTGAGCACAGTGATGTCGCCCACTTGCCGCGAGCTGTGGAGGTACATAGCGATGACTTCGCAAGCTAACGATGCAAATCTGTTCTGGAA